CTCCCTCTCTTCCTCCCTCCCTCTCTCTCTCTCTCTCTCTCTCTAACTTCCAAAGTATTTTTTTGGCATGTTAGAGTATTTCACAGGGATGTTGTATTTGGCTAAAAACCCATTTCTGAATAACCGTATTTTTGCCTGCCCATATAAATACAGTTCTGATTTCAAATTGTGGTTTGAATTAGGGTTCAGGTTTTGTGGAGAAATATTCAGAATCTGATGGGAGGAGAGTAAAGATGTCTGGAGAGAAAGAAAGTCTGTAGGGACCTTTAAGTCAGTACTTGACTTTTACTTTTTTAAACCTTTCCTAGTTCATACCAGCCTTCTAACCTCTTCCCCCAAATTCTGAGGATTTTTTCTAGGCTCAATTATCAGAATACATTTAAACTACTTCTTGGATTTGAAACAACCCTGTGCCAGCCTGCAAGAATATGCAGTTATCAGTTCTCTATCACATTAGCTCAGGACTAACTTGCATTCTGATAGTGAGTTTAAGAAATGTTTACCCTGGTATTTTGGCCTTAAGGATGTTTTGACCCTACCTTTCAGAACACAGAGACTTTAATCAAGTTTATGTCAATATTAATGAATTTTCATTAAGAAAATACTTTTGACAGACTTTATTAAGACAGATTTTCTAATCAATTTTTCATAGAGCAAAGTTATATTTTTCTAATTTATTTTACTAAAATCATTTTTATCAGAATCAGCTCTTTGCTTTGTGACTTTTACTCTGAATATGTCTACCATTCAGTTTTGTCTTTTCTTTTTTAAGAAGAGACAGTATAGCGTGGTAGTTATATCCTGGTTATGCTTCAAAGCAGTGCTGTCCAAAAATAATGCAAGCCACGTGTATAATTTTAAATTTCTTAGTAACCACATTAAAAAAGTAAAAAGATACAGGTGAAATTAATTTTCATAAATATATTTTATATAACCCAATATGTTAGACATGTCATTTTGACATGTAATCAACATAAAAATCATTAATTTTAGAGGAAAGTAGATAGGAAAAGGGAAATCTCAGAGGAAGGAAAGGTAGGGATAGGATAAGTTTGGCCTGTTTCTCTGCTACGTTTCTGGAGCCTTGGGGAGGAGAGAAAGAGAAGACTGCCCATCTGTACTCTGGCTCTGCCTTTAGCTCGTGAGTAGAATGGTTAATTCAGCATGGTTCATTTATTTGCTGTTTTTCCTCTGAATCATTGAGAGTTCTATTTATATTCAGAATGTAGTGCTAGAAAAGGCCCAAAGAGTACCATGTGTTCATACTACATATGTGCACATTAAGAATCTAAAATGTATTTTACTGGCTCCAATTTTAATAATAGTCTTGTTCTCATTCTCTCTCTCTACCTCCCTCCCCCCCTCCCCTCTCCTTTCTCTCTCTCTCTGTCTCCTCTCTCTTTCTGTCTCTTTTTATGTCCAAGCATAAATTTCGTACTGGAAAGACAGGAAAGGAAACTGTAGTAGATTTTCCAAACACAAACCTCACTTTTATAATATGGTTATGGCAACCATCTCTATTTTGGTAAAGTTAGACTATTATATGAATTACATTTTGCAATTTAGATTTTTGCAATTTAGAAAACCCATAAGCCATTACAAACAGTTAAACTGGATATTTTCTGTATACATTTAGTACTATATGTAAGTCAGAATGTTAGGCATTGTCCCGACAGAATGAAAACATAAAGCAAATGGATCTAAATCATTCTGTAAGATTCAGAGAGAACTTTTTTGAGGAAGTGACCTGGGAACTAAGACGTGAAGGGGGACTAGGAGTTGTAGGTAGTGCCAAAGGAAAAGTGCTTTCCAGGCAAAGAAAAATCATTTGCAGAAGTTCTTGCATTGGGAATTGAAAGTCCAGAATAAACTATACCTTTATAGTCAAGATTTTCAACAAGAATGCCAAAAGAATCATTTTTCAACATATGGTGCTAAAACAACTGGATTTCCACATGCACAAGAAGCACATCGGGCCCCTACCTCACACCATGCACAAAAATTAACTCAAAATGGGTCAAGACCTACATGTTATAGTTAAAGCTGTAAAACCCTGAGAACAAAGCATAGGAATAAATCTTTGTGATGTTGAGTTAGGCAGCAGTTTCTTCACTATGACACTGAAAGCACAAGTGACAACAAAAATAAATTGGGACTTCAACAAAATGAAAAACATGTACTTCAAAGGATACCACCACAAACGTGAAATGACAGCCCACAGAACCGGGAGAAAATATTTGCAAGTCATATATCTGATAAGGGAACTTGTATCCAGCTACTACTAGGAAAATGCAGCATCACTCAAAGAGTAGGTTTGTGGAGATGTCCGAGTGTAGAGTATGGAGGTGTTTCCTGATTTGCGAAATGGAGCTCTGCTGCAGTGCAGCCTTCCTTTCCCTGAGAATGAAAGTTGTAACCTAGCTTGAAGTTAATAAGCATCTCCTTCAGCCCAAACTGTTCGTTTCTGAGGTAATAGGTGCAAACTTCATGGGTTTGGCTGAGAGTTCCTTAGTCTAGGAATCCTTGGCCCTGTAGCATGGTTGGATTTATGAACAGAGCATTTCCTTTTGAAATCTAGACTTTGCTTTTAATACTGCTTAAATTCGAACTATTCCACCAAGATTTTACAGATTTTACTTACGTTTTAAATAAGAATTTTAAAGTAGTCCAAGCATCCTTCTGAATCTGTCACAAATTATAGTATCTCAATTAGTTTGTTAGACTCGGTGATATAAATTGTGTTTTGCAATATATTTACCCCAGAATTTGCCCTATCAGCTACATCCTGAGCTGTGGTCTTAGTTGTGTTAGATACTTTTCTTAGCTCACCAAGAATCAGAGTCCAGCCAGGAAAATGGAAAAAGGAAAATCTAAAATTGTCCTTCCATTTCTTCTACTAAAGAGGGCTCTGGAAATGTTTTGTGCAAGAAAGCAATAGTGAAAATCTCCTCTTTGCTATTAAGTTTCTGAAGCAAATGAAAACCTTTTTCTTTGGTTTTTACATTTTCTGCCAAAGAATTGATTACTTTATTGGGGGTAAACCATGTGAATTGATGCATACTCTAGCTTCTAGGTAAATTCTGTACCAGCAAACCTAGTCCACTAACCTGAAGAAGAGATGAGATGGAAGTAATTGAATATTCTTAATTAGAGTAAGTATATATATTTGAAATTCACAGTAAAGATGTCTTAAATCTCATTACATATTCATCCAGACTATTTTAATCAGTTAATGACTATCTTTTATTCACATGTTTTAAAACAGATGAGCTCCAACAAGAAATGCTGGATGATGTACAGAAGAAATTGATGAACTTAGTAAACAGCACAGAAGGAAAAGTAGACAAGTATGCTCTGCCTTTTATATATTTTATGAAGATTACTTTTATGGTAAAAACTTGTACATGCTACATGTAGATGTTTATATGTGATTAGGTTTTTTTAAAAACCTTTTTTTTATATAGTGGTGAGATGTAGGTAGTTTTAATGAGGGTCAGTAATAATTTTTCTTCATTTGGCTTTTAAATAGATTTTTCCAGCTCAAATTCTTTTTCTTAAAACCATATGGAAGAGTTAAAATATCACCACACTTAGAAAAGAAAAAGTTTATTCTTACCATTCTTTCTTGCTTTTTTTTTTTTTTAAAGATTTTTATTGTTATTATTGAGAGAGAGAGGAAGAGAGAGAGAGAAACATCAATGTGAGAGTGAAACACTGATCGGCTGCCTCCTGCACACCCCCTACTGGGGTTGAGCCCGCAACCTGGCCATGTGCCCTGACCTGGAATCAAACCGGAAACCCTTTGGAGCATGGGACAACGCCCCATCAACCCCAACCAACTGAGCCACACTGGCCAGGGCTTTTTTGCTCTTTTTTACTGTCCTTAAATGAACATATTTTGCTAAAATGTATTAGATCTGAAATCTATATATGTAGTATATAATTAATATTTTAAAGATTTCCATATTATTAGCAACTTTTTAATAAGTGTGAATGGGGAAATATAAGCATAACCACTAAGCATATGAACTATCATCACCATTTAAAGTGGGGAGGGAAAAATCTGAAGTTTCTCCTTAGGGTTGACATCAGTGCAGACAGGTGCTGGCTATTGCTCATGGTCACCATCTCAGTTGATTATTTGGTTGAAGAAAGTGAGTCCCTAATAAGTGCTGTTTTCTGGGTACACGTTTTGGGTTGTTTGAAATACTCTTAATTAGACATGACAAGATTGTTTTAAATGTTACTTTAAAATATATTACTGTTTAGTATTTTTCACAATTAAGTATTTAAGTCTAATTAAATGTTTATATGCTTAGTACATATTTATTATTTTGGTACACTAAATATTAGGAGAGCTTGCTGAGTGAGCTTGAGCTGCTTCTGCCTTCATTTTCATAGAACCCTGATGAGAAACCTCTTCATTGGACATTTTCACACACCAAAAAACCAGCGTCATGAAGTGTTACGATTAATGGGGAGCGTCCTGGGCATCAAAAGGGAGGAAATGGAGCAGGTAACTGAATAATGAAAGTCATTCTGAATACATTTATAACTAAAAAAGGGCATCAGATAAAACTTTCTTTTACTATATGTTGTATAACTTTTCCTGAATACAACTTCCTCAGCAATTTGAAAGTGGAATCATTTCCTACTACAGTGAAGGGGTGGACTTGTGCAGTTTGTATAATATTAACCTAAATGTTTTGTAACTTACACACCACCTCTCTTATCAGAAAAGAGGAAATTTTAAGACATGACAACCCTCCACTTTTATTCAAGATAGCGTTTGGGAGGACACTTCATAGTATTTGCAGCCTCTCAGTAGGAAGCATTTACTAGGAATTGGACTTGAAAATTATGTTTTCAGTTGGACTGAAATTATGTAAAACTTGTTTTTATTTCTTTTCTTGTACTGATAACACTTTTCTGTTTTAAAATAATTTTCAGTTGTTGAATGAAGATCAGGGTGGAGTCACCAGATGGATGGCTGGGTGGCTGGGAGGAGGGTCGAAAAGCGTCCCCAACACACCTCTGCGACCAGACCCGCAGTCTGCGTTTAACAGGGTAAGGGCCGATTTTATTTTTGCTGAATGTGAATAGTTAACTGATTGTTCCTCCCATTCATTTGCAAGAATCAGACTTCTCTTTTAGGTTAGTTTATACAGCCCTTTTATTTTGAAGTTGTAGAAGCTGACATCCAAAGATGTATTAGCTTAAGGATCCTAAGCCAAGTTTAATAAGTTTATTGCATACAGGTTTTATTTTAGCTTTTTATTTATATAGTACTTTTACTTTTCAAAGTATTAACTCTACCTTTATTTGTATTTGATCATGATGCTACAGGCATACTAAATTAAGAGATTCGTAAAAGACAGAGGCTTTGTTTTATGCATGTTTGTATCTACCTAATCATTGAGCCAGTGAGTACTTATTGAGCACCTGCTGTGTACCCAGCTGTCCTGAGCATTGAGAATGCTAAGCATTGGGGATGCAGCAGCAAAGCAGATACAGTGCCTGCCCTCAGCGAACTTCCTCTGGTAGGAGGAGGCAGTTAATAAACACAAAAAGTAATGCCTGTTATGTAGTGGGCTGAAGATGAATACCAGTTGAATTGAGTAGCACTGTGAGAATGTGGAGCTTACTTCTTTATTTTTTCATAAAGAGGAAACAGAATAGGTGACCTACCCACAGCTTGCCAAAGATAAAGCCCTGTTTTAAATGGGATGGCGTAAAATTTAAAGGAAAGGCCTATACTATTAATTAAGAGATTAAAATACTATTATTTTAACCTGATAAATTACTGGTGAGCTTTTGCTGTATTTGTTGATTGCGTGCTAGGGTTTAATACTTATTTCTGTTGGTATAAGTTTTCATGTGTATGTAAACAGTTATGAAAATGATTTAAGAAATCTAAATGTTAGCAGGTGACTAATTCAGACTATAGGTTTATAAAGTGTTGTCATCAAAGATTATTAAGTTAAAGTTTTTACTTGATACCTGTGTAAAGTGCTAGCACTTATTCATAAAGCTTATAAAGAAATGAGTCAGATAGCATGATTAGTTTTTAATATTTAATTAGAATAGCCAGTATATTTTCTAAGTTGTAGTGAATACAATTTTAATATCTGCCTAATATAACCCAAATTTTTTTTTCTTAGTCTTTTTCAGAACTATTCGTTAAATTTCTAGAAACAGAATCTCATCCGTCTATCCCTCCACCGAAGCTTTCAGTTCATGATATGAAACCCCTAGATTCCCCAAGGAGGAAAAAACTAGATACAAATGCACCAGAAAGTTTTAAAGGTAAAACCAGATATTTATCTTTTTCTACAATTTAAAAAATTGAATGTTTAATTTATGATCATGTTTTATAGTGATATTAACTATATTTTTAATGTTTTTGAACATGTGTAATGACTTCTTCCAAAATTCCCATAAGACATCATATTTTGATTTCCTCTATATTCTTGTGGTAACCTGCTGTTTAATTAGCGTAGATTAATTTAAATGACAGGAAGCGTTTCCCTTTGTGCGCTGCTGTCAGTGTCCTCGCTCCGTGTAGGCCGCTTTGAAGTATTCTTGGAAGAGGGGCTTAAATGGTCATCTGTTTGCCTTTCTCACTGGTGCTGCTTGTTTCTAATTGGAGAAGTGTAGTTTATAGTTAGAAAAAGATTTTTTTCCCTGTGAAAATCTAAGTGTTGTGCTCAATACCCAAACCCTGGTATGTTAATATTTATAAGAGTAGTTTAATAGACTGGCTTAGACATCCAAGAATGTTAGGAAGCGTTCTCATATGTTGAAAGATCTGCCTAGAAGCAAATGGTTTGGTGGTACTATAGTATGTGTACATAATTTTTTATTCCGCTAGTTTATAAGGGTCTTGTTATAATCATATCCCCTATATTAGCATGCAGTAAAATTCCTTGAGTTGAAATTTAAGTATATCCTTTAAACTACAAACAGATTCTTTAGTGTAAGGTCTCTTTTTTTCCTAAAATCTTTACATTTTAATTCAGACTAACTTGTTTGCTAGTGGAACTGTAAAGGTAGGTATATGTTACAATATACTCTTAAGTTTATATCACATGTCAGATACTTAAATTTGGATAAAATATTAAATAATTTGTATTCTGAAATTTTAAAAACTTGCTTAGTCACTTAGACAGGTATATTTTCCTGAACTCTTATAGAAAGTGGTAAAATTTATTTGTTTAGATAAACATTTTGGCTGCTAAATTTAGTGAAAAGTCTTAACTTTAACAAGTGTAGACTATACTAAAAACACTTTTTTTTGTTACACTAGGTGGTAGCATCTTAAAGAGGATTCAAAAATTCATTATGGCAGGACCCCCCTTGTTCTCCCCCTCGGTCCCTTTCCCTTCTCCCTCTCCTCCCTCGTCCTACGTCCCCCATTCAGTGACCAGGCCCTGTGTGCAGCTTGATTTGAGCTGACCAGAGACAAAAGCCACTGATGTTCTGAGTTGGTCCCAGGTTTGCAGGATTAAAGTTTAATCCTTAATCCTGGATTTGTTGTAGTGTAGGAGCTAAAAAAATACGTTTTATCCCACCTTCTAAGTTCTATCTGGGCTAATAATCAAGTTAACAGACAGAATAACAGGAGAAAATCAAGTTTTTAATATGTGGGGGGGGATTCACATAAGCATGAAAATTCCAAAGACAGACAGCATTGGGTATATATGAAATTTTGAACGACAGAGAAGGGGGACGGGTAGGGGTCTGAGATTTCCAGAGTGAGCGGGCTGTTTACAGTAGTCGAGGAAGAGCGGAGCACACAGGGCAGGAAAAGCCTTGCTCAGCAACTCAGGTACATTGGGCACATGGGCATCGAGCCTACAGGCCCCGCCCGAAGCCCTCCCATGGACCAGACTCAGTTCCAATCAGAGCGGTAAGGCAGCGTCCCGGGGCCGCCTCCCTGCAGAGGTGGCTCCCCCGAATCTCAGACGGGAAGGCGGGAGGCTCCGCGTTTCCTTCTGAGTCCTAATCCCAGCTTAGTATCAGTGTCCTAAAACGCAAAACTTTTGTTCCCCTTCAGTAGTAAATCAAGTTCACCAGTTATAGAACTTGTATTTAAGTACAAAACGACGATATTAATGTGTTTAATGAAGTATTAGTTACACCTTCAGATACTCCGCTCTCCTCTTTGGCCCATTTCCTTCTCATCTGGTCCTCAGCCTTCTGTTTCTGTTTCATGGACCCTGCGTGTCAGATCCAGGACCCAGCAGCGTACGAATTAAATTTACTTAGGGGCCAAATCTGGGAACCTCAAACACTTGTATAGTGTTGATTAAATAACATATAGGAGACTAAATAATTCACATTTTGTCATTTAGATACGACAGAATCCAGGTCTGGTAGAAGAACAGATGTGAATTCGTTCTTGGCTCCCCGCTCTGCAGCTGTGCCTCTTATTAACCCAGCTGGACTTGGACCTGGTGGGCCTGGGCATCTTCTTTTGAAACCCATTTCAGACGTGTTGCCCACATTCACACCTTTGCCAGTGTCGCCTGACAACAGTGCAGGGGTTGTGTTGAAGGACCTTTTGAAGCAATAGATGACTCTCGAGCTTGAGACGACACGCATAGCACTTTAGAGAAACCACGAACACTAAGTGTGTGTACTTTATCACAAAGTGGCCTTTTGGAAAAAGTCATGTATTTGTTTGCAGTTGTACTTTCTTGAAATTTAATAAAAATATTCTTAATGTTTTTAGAAATTGCAGGTGTCACAGGAGGAAGTGTTTGCTATATTGCTGCTTTTGTTCCTTCTCTGATTTGACCTGATTTAGGCTAGAAACATTTGATTTTTTTATCTTAACTTACAAAGATAGGTAAAATTGTCTTATCAGCTTTCTATTTCCTTCTCTGATTTTCAAGCTCATTTAAGCTAGTAGAGACATATGGCTTGTCTTTTAAAGACAATCAAGAGATTTACCAAAAAAAGAAAGAAAAAGCAAAGGAAGAAGGAAATGGTGGTGACTTATCTGCATGGTGCCGAAAATTGGCCTGAGGAGTGTATCAGTCATCGTTAGAGGACCTCGTGCACACAGGCCAAGAACAAGGTTGTCTGGGAGGACAGGTGTCCTGACCTGGAATGTGTGTGTATTTGGTTCTATGCAATTTCGTCACACGTATAGACTCGTGTGTCCACCACTACGGTACAGGTACATCAAGGACCCCTCAGGCCACCCATTTATAGTCATAGCCGCCTCCTTCCCTGGCCCCTCCCTTCACATCTGGCACCCCTAACTGTTCTCCTATTTCTATGATTTCGTCATGTCAAGAGTGCTATATAAATGGAATCATACAGGATGTCACTTTTTTGAGACTGACTTTTTCACTCAGTGCAGTGCCCTTGGGCCTGTGCAGATTGTTCTGTGTATCGGCAGTTCTCTTTGTTGTCAGGTGCATACTGTGGACGTATGATTGGTTTTAAGAGCTAAGGTATCTTTTAAACGTATCATCTCAAAACTAGTTGTTTTCTTACGCACACACACAACTTTCATGCAAGTGTCGAATCGCACAGCTGCACTTGCGGAACTGCAATGAGCAGTATCGCGGACCACGGCACCCCCGGCCCTGTCTGAGATGTCCAAGCGGAAGGTGCGGCAGTCCAGGGGTCGTCCGTTCGCATCCTTGTGGTCGCTGGGGCTGTGGAATCACTTCAGCAACACCAGCACCAGGTGTTTGGAATTTGGAATAAGGGAGCATTTCTTTAATTTTTATAAGCCTACCATAAAAATCCTGACTTGGAACTTAATCAGGGTGTTCATGTTTGTATTAGTTGTTGAAGTTGTACATTTAAAGACATTTCTTGCAAATTTTGTAAGTTTCAATATGCCTTTAAAATGGAAACGTGTATAACAAGGAGAGGTGAGCATGATACTAATCCAAATATGTAAATAGTCTGGCTCTGGCCAGGGCTAAACTTGATTATTTGTAAATGTTGCTCTGATTAACTGTATACTTTCTACTGTATTTAGAAGATTGGAAGTCTTTATGTGTTGATGGGTAAAACTGGTTTTCCTGAGGAATTCAGTAACTGAGACACTGCTGCTTCTCAGCGCCCCGTCCCCTTAGCTAACTTATTACATTGCCGTTCTTACCTAGTGTACTCTAATGGGAGGTGTCGTACAGTTGGTTCTATATTAGAACTGCCAGGCTGCCTCCCGTCTGTTTTGCTCATTTCCCTTATGAAATTATTACCCTTGGGTTTTTAGATGATTCTTTCAAAGATACTTTCCCTTGACTGTCCTAAATTATTTACCGCTTGCCATTGAAGTTTCATTTCAGTGTGGAGCATCTGAAATAAAATTAATAAGTTAAAAAAAAAAAAAGACATGACCCTTCATTTCGGAGAAATAGAAAATGCAAAAAAGTTTTCTCTTAATTTGAAAATTGAAATTTAAGTAGTGAGTATTTAAGTAGTATGTCATCATATTTTAAATGCCTTTTATGACATTTTAAGTATTTCCTTCCCTACTCAAAACAGATTGTCCCCCTTCACCCCATAGTTTAATATAAGTTTGAAAGCTGTTTGGGTGGACAGCATGACCTTACATGGCTGCTATTTAATTAAGTATGTGACCTTGAACTGAAACTGTAGTACCTAATGTTTCAGTGGTATCATCATTGGAACTATAGCTCACTGGTATGCATACCAAGTGTTTGTTGATCTAAACCAGACATAACTCATCTACTTTTCTGAAACTAAGTTGTGTCAGAGATGAACCATCTGCTTAAGGAATCTTCTTAGTAACCAGCCATACAGTGATGAAGCATATAATTCTAATGTCAGCAGTAGGGCACTGCTAACAGTAATTTACTGCAGTAGTTTAACTACGGTAATTTTACTGTTTACTTCTCTGCAAACTTACTAGAATTTGTGGTTGAATTTTGCTTTAGCTGCCACAGTTTTTCACAACATTCCTAATGGTTTTCAACTGCTAATACTATAATAGAAAACCCAGCCAGACATTGAATCGATTTTAGTACAATTCTGTATCATATGGCTGTTTGAATTTTAGTTCCTGCCATTATTGATTTAAAAGGGAAAAAATGGGGAAAAGAATTTACTTCCTTAAAACAAGTAAAATAAAATATTAAATATCCCCTCAATAAAGCCTCCAGTTTATTTTAACCTTTTAGTGGTTAATCGAAAGGGAGAAAAAGATAACTTATTTAATCAGTAGGAGGCAATTTTAAATTGTCCTCAGGGACGGGAGCTATGAGAATTATTTAGAAAGCGCTATTATGCATCACACTTTTGAATTTGATTTCTAAAGCTAATGAAAGTATTAGCTTTCATATATCAAAGTATTTAAAACGTCTTCCATCAAAAAAATTAATTTTGTAAATATCAAGTCAATTATACTTGATATTTATTTTATATATTCCTATGGAAAAAATAACGGCACTTTTAATGTTCTGACATTTGTGATTATTTGCCAGTGTTTACTTTTTAACTTATTAAGGTTTCTGTACTTAAAATTGATAAGTTGTCTTGATTTTTTAGGGAAACAACTAAATGCGGGAAATTTACAACCCAACCATAATACTGGGTTGTGTTTTATAGAGCTCAAGTCAATGCATTTCTGAATTTCTCAGGAGCACTGCAAGGCAAAAAATACTCCAAATAAAAATGATATATGTGAGTTGGCAATGTCTTCATCCACAATAAAGAAAGATTTTTTAGCAAACAGCTGCTGACTTTTTCTTTAGAAGGGGGGAGAAATGACTTGCACATGTTGTTTATAGCAGCCGTTGATCAACTACTGGAGCTAATGCCTTCAAGTGCTGGCCGGATGTCTGCCGCGGGGATGCTGTGGGGCCCTGGAAACGTGCCGTGCGAGCGGTTCCATAGACGCTGAACGTAAGATAAGGCATGAGAAGCGGATGCGAGAGGCTGTAGCCAGCCTGGGGTTTAGTGCAGAGGTGATGCTATGCGTCATCGGGCCCTCGGTGTTTCTGCAAGGTAATCAGTCCTGTCTTCATTTCGTCTGAGATGGGGAACCCGCGTATTGGTGCCTGTTCCCGTGATGGCACCATCGGAGGGAACACGGGCTTAAAGTTGCGAGGGGATCGGTTTGACCTCTTCTGCACGCCAGCAAGTGCAGTGTCGGCCTGCCCTTGCCCTAACCAACTTTCGTGGAATACAAAATGTTATAACCTCAACTTGTTTGGCTGTTGAGGACAAGTGAGTTTAACAAAATCGCTTTGACTGTGGGACTGATTTTTCTCATCGCTGAAATGCCCAGGCCGTACTCGGATGGGGTGGTAAGGGTCAGGTGACACATTCATGGACAGTATTTATTAAATGATAAAGGGGCCACTGGGGAGAATGCTCCATAAAATCTAGTTCTATACTGACGTCAGGAGGAGAGGTTATCACTGCCAAAAAGGGGGTGAGAGTGTCAGGTGGGGGTGCTGCCGAAGCCAAGAATTGTGCGGAGGAGGCAGGGAGAGGCCAGGAGCGCGGCTGCCTGCTGCTCCGCGGGCAGCTTTGGGGAGGCGCCCTGGACTCGGACCCGCGTAGGCTCCGACCTAGAGCAGGGCCGGCCGAGGGCGGGAGGGAGCAGCGGCGCTCCGAGCCCAGCTGGGTGACTGGTGAGCAACTGGAGGTAGTGTCGGTGGGCAACGCTTCTGAGAAACCACACTGGAGGGGACAGGACACTGGCAGGAGAGGAAGGAAAGGGGTGGAGGTGGAGGGACACTTGGTTTAGGTTGGGAGCCTTCGGTGGCTAAATGCTCGGGACGGAGCGGGTGGAGAGCAGATCCTGGGGAGGGGGAACACAGAACCCGGACAGCGATGGAGGCGTCGGCCTGCCATGGGACCCCTTTATTGGCACAGGAGCGACCGAGGGAGGGAGATGCAGGTAGCAAGCGGGTTTGGGTGGGGGAAGTTGTGGGAATTTTCTTCTGTGAGTCTGGCGGGGAACTTGATGGGCTAAAAATGAGGGTCCCGGGGAAGGTCAGGCTGGAGAAATTCACAGTCAAGCGGGAGAGACAGGCTCAGGCCCACAGAACTAGGGAAGTGGGAGAAGGGCTGGGGGCCCGCCTGGCCTGCAGGCAGCCGGAGGGGCCTGGTGGGCAGAGGAAGCGACACAGCACCAGGAGGAGGCCCGCGAGCGGGTCAGTGTCAGAGGGCCCTGGCCCTAACCGGGTCTGATGGAACACAAAATGTTACTAACCTCAGCTTGTGTTCCTGTCCTTGGGACTTAGGTCACGTGAATATATGACACGGCTGAAGGTTCGACAGCATGTTGTTGTCATAATTTAATACAACCAGTAAGTTAGTAATCCTTTATAAACACACCAATATTTGTTTTGGAGTTAAGGAAAAATTCAAGAATGTTAATAAATGGATCACTTAAGGCAAATGTTTGACCCCTTAGTTTGTTTTCTGCCTTGGCCACTACTGTGCATCAAAATTTTAGCCCTTCTGGGGTTAAGAAATTAAGAATTTGCACTCTGATGATGTTTTAACTGTGATCATTTTCAGCTGTGACTTTTGACAGGCATACTCCCCTTTTCAGCCCTAACAGGCCGGCTTCAGTGAACGATTTCTGACCCTCAAAATTAAATCTCAGGGATTGAAAATATTTGTGAACTTAATGCAAGAGCTCGGTCAAGTTGTTTCCCAGGTATCCTTGGACTGTTAAAAATGTAAGGTAGATTATTCTTTTTTGTAAAATATAAGGCATTTAAACGAGAAGGGTGTTACACTGTGAGAGGTTTTCCTATCAGTGCATATTCTTGAATGAATACATTTCCCAGAGGGCAAGGTCCATTCCAGATGGTGAAGGGAAACATGATTTCTTTTAAAGAAAAGAATTGGAAGCAAAGTAACATAACTTTGCTGCAGGTTTCCAAGCAGCTCCTTCCACGTAAGTGTATTTAAAGCGCCATGGTGTCCTCTGAGTTAACACATTAATCCCCTTCTAAAAGGGAGTTTCAGGCACTTTCCCTGAATAAAAATGGGGCGGTGGTGATAAAGTTACAGATTCTAGACTAATGAGGTCATTTTTTATTTTTGAAAACATATATGGAATGTGTAGTCTTTGAAAATGTTTGGAAGCGTTTCAAAGTCGTCTCCCTAGAGCATCTGGCTTGCCCCGCGCATGCAGGCTCCCTGCTGGAACAGTCTGGATGTATGTGTTCAACCCGCGTTGCTCTCTTTAGGATCCCGCTCGCCCACTGCAGCGCCTGTGTTGAAATATTGATGGTTAAAATCAATTCTCCACAGAATTGCTACCTGAGAAATGGACTTCCATTTTTTAAAAGCGTTTTCCCTCTTCTGTTTTTCCTTTAAACGTGAGCTTTCCCTGGAAGTCGTTTTACTTCTGCTGCCATCCTTGAATCTGTGTGTCGAATGTTTCAATCACGCAGGAACAGACAACGCGGGTATTAGGAGGGATGGACATCTGGCCACGGCAGTGCGAAGGGGTCGGCCAGGCCTCCCTGCAAAAAGCAAGTATATAAACCAACATGGTCAAAAACGACCATTTGTGGGCTCTGGTAATTGCCTTTGCAGACAAGAAATGGAAAATTGTTGATTTCTGAAAAACTTCTAGACCTTAGGTAAGAACCACTGGGGTCTGTAGCCTTCCTGCCTGGGACTCCCCCAAACCCCCCAAGCATCCTGGTTTTTCTAGCACCAGCCAATCTGAAAACCAGCAGCTTTGTTGCC